CTTTTCTTTTCTTGTTGGCTAATGGGCCTGTTATTTCTTTTTTGTTTAATTTCTTTATGTTACTGCTTAGTTGGCCGCCCACTTAAGGGCATACTTGTCATTACTCTAACATTAATTCTTAATAAAAAAGGATTAGAGGAGAAAGGGAGGATAATTCAATTCTTCTTCTTTTTCCTTCTCTTTTCGCCATCTTCTTCTCTTGTGCTACTGCTCTTACTTCTCTTCTTCTTTTCTCTTCTTCTAATCTTCAAATTTACACCTAATATTTGAGGACTGATTTACATCTATTTTTAATACAAAAAATTAAGAAATTGAAAATATAACATTTTCAGAATGGCTCTCATTCATCACAAAATAATAAAGGGTGTCGCTTCAAAGATCGTTCACAATCAGACTCAAAAAAAAAAAAAAAAAAGCTACAAAGAGAGGGTAGAGAAAAAGAGTAGTGGGAGAAGTAGGTTTGGGATATTACAAAGTTCAATAGATCAGTTCAAAGGAAAGGAAGGCCAGGTGAAGCAATGGGTGAGAAGGATATATCAGGTAAGTCAGCTGTGGTCTTAGATTGCTCAAAGAATGGGGAGGATGGTTGAGGTGCTGTCACTGATGACAGGTTATGTATTGAGATGAAAAAACAAAATCAGTGTCAAGAGTTGGGGACTGTTGAGGCAAGAATCGTTGATTCTATCTTGAGCAGGCCTGAGGCAATCAATGGTCATGTCAGGGGGTGATGGAGCTGGAGATGCTGCAGAGCCAAGATTGGTTGATTTGGTTGCTGCAGCTCAATCTGAGGAGGTACATGGGATATACAAGCCATGAAAATGCAGGTTTTGAGTCTAAACCCATGTTGCAAGTATGAGAGTCAGAAGAGGTCAAATGGGGAGTTAAGACAAACCGTCCGGGTTCATGAAAAGGGGCAGGAGACTGAGCACATGGAGAGTGGTTTGCTGCTGACGTGTGGGGAGGAAGGAAGAGTTGATGGAGGCGGGGATCTGAAAATGTGTTCAGATGGAAGTTTAGACTGTGGATTTCAAGGGGTCTTGATAAAGGAGGGGTTAGAGAAGTTGGTGTGAAGAAGGCTATTCACCAGGGGGTGGAAGCATCTGTTGTGGTTGTGACTTCAGGAAGTCATGATAGTGGAGTTCAATATCTTATGGGAAAGATGGGAAACAAGATTATAGAGGAGAGGATAAGGGTTCTGTTTTGGTTTTGGAAAAACCAGAATTAGGGAAGAGGGTGGTAGGATAAAGGAGTGGGTTAACATTGGGGAGGGCAAAAATAAGTTGATTGAGTTCTCAAGATGACAAGGAAGAATGATAGATTAAAAATGGGGGCAAGCTAAAGGAGTTTGACGGTGGCTCCATACAGATGCGGGATGATCAGAATTCCAACATCGGAGCTGGTTCAAAACAGGATGATCAGGTCGTTGAAGCAATTAATGGCAATGGGTCTTTGGAGTTGGGGGAAGGAAACCCAGTATTTTAGAAGTTTCAAGTGTAAAAGTGGAGATGATGGCTCCTGGGAATGTTTCTGAGTGGTAGTTGGGAAGCCAGGGGTGGACTTGGGGCAGAAAAGAGATGGAAGTGTAGTTGAAGGGACCAAAAAAGATGACAAACCTTTTTTTTTATCAGCAAAAAAAGGTGACAAATCTTTCGTTAATCTGAAAAACCAAAGGACCAAATGCTTTTTTTTTATAAGAAATGGTAACTTCGATTAAAACTTTAAAAAAGTACACAGGTTCAAGCCCTAGAGTTAGGGAACCTGAACCCCAGCAAGTTCAGAATTACAACTCAGCCCAAAATAAATCTTCCCAGTTGATCCCTTGTTTGGGTAGAGTGTTGGCCAAACCCAAAGGACCAAATACTGGACACTCAATTCACATTACAAAAGTTTTTGATCATCTGAAAGATGGTCTGTTGGGAGCCAGCCCATGTAATAAATTCAAGAGGGTATACAAGAGGAAGTGTGTAAATGTTAAAAATAGAAATCAGAGCAACGAAGGGAGGTATTGTTCTGATAATTTGCATAAAAAGGTGGAGAAGATGAAGGTGTTGAGGGGTTAACACCTTTGGACTCCTTTGGACTCCAAGGTCAGTTAACAGTCTAGCAGATCAATTAGCAAAGCGATGGGTTAACAGAGAGCAATGCTTTTGGGCCCAATTGTAATGATAAAAAGGCTTAGCCATTTGTTTTGTTTCTTGGTCCAGTTTTAGAGGGTCGCCGAGGCTACCCATTTGTTGTAATCTTCCTCTCTTTCTCTTTAATTAATAAAATATGTTTTCATTACTGATCAAAAAAAGATGAAGGTGTTGAGGGAGGAAAGAAGACAAAGAAAAAAGAGTAAGGATGAGGAAAAGGATTCTAAGGGGCAAGAGGAGAATGAAGAGGTGAGTTTAGACCAAGTGAGAAAGAGAAAAGGTTGGATTTGGAAAAGATAGTGGAAATAGAAGTTCAAATAAGCAAAACATCGGGACTTGTTTTTTTCTGGGAGGGGAAGAATTTGCAAGAAAATATTTTTGGAGCTGGAAAAATGAATGGTCTTGGTGCTGGTTGGATGAGTAGTGTTGGGGTGATGGTAAGAGTTGAATTTCTTGCATGGGTGTGGGTTTTCAGGTGTGAGGAGATCCTGACCTTGAGAACTTTTTTGTAGTGAAGTAAAAAAAGAAAGTACAAGAAAGGTGACCAAAAGTCACCCAAGAGAAGAAAAAAGGCCTAAACCAACCACAGCTTGACACTCCAGAAACCAAAAAACACTACCTCACCTGAGAAAAAAACCCTATAACAACTTACCTAACAAACCAGGAAAAAAAAAAAAAGAAAAAATACTGCCCTCCTGACCCCACCTTATGACACAGACTTTACAACTTTCACTACACCTCTTAAAGACCGGAAAAAAAAAAAAATTGAACGACACAAACCTTCCAATTTAAAATCTCCCAACATTGTTCATTGTTGAGCATCTTCAGTAGATTGTGAATGACCCCTTTACTTCTCTTGCCCACCTTCTTACAAACCCCAATACCAAATAATCCCCCTTTCAACCTAGCAAAAACTTTTCAAACCTGAAGAGTATAATGATCTTCCTTTTTACTTCTAAAACATCTCACAGCATTACGACCCTCCAAGAAAGCCTTTGAGAAAGGATACTCATTGATCCTTTCTAACTCTAAAACCGAATTTCTTTCAAAAGATTGTTATGCAACCTCCTTACCCTCCTCATTATCATCATCCCCTGCTAAACCAAGAACTCTCAAACTACCTTGAGCACCCTTAACCTTGAGGCTTAAAGCTTCCACTTTCTCCCAATTTATCGATCTTCCAATATCATGAGTTTCATCTATACAAACCTCCTCACCAGATTCAGATTCTTCACCTCCATCCTCCTTTTTTTTATCATCAACAAAAAACAGAATTTTATTAGATAAAAGAAAATGCAGTACAACAAGAGGTTTCAGCTTTACATTACAAAAATAGAGTGTAAGCACAGCCCCTGCTACCCACCCCAACTCAGATCTTACAACCGAACCCAATACAGCTGACGTCTAGTAACCCTTTGCTTTGCTAAAGCACCAGCCAAGCCACTTGCTGACCTTGGTACCCACTGTATTTCTATTTGCTATGTCTTAATATTCCATTAAACCTAACCTTCTGATTCCATTTCTGTAACACCAATTAGCTTTACTCCATCCAACAGCCAGCTTATAATTACTATGGAGTCACCTTCAACAACTAGTTTATCGGCACCCAATTCCTTTGCTTTTTACAAGTCAATCACCTCCATCCTCTTCAAATTTATCATCTTCATTTAATGGCCTCATTCTGACTTTGAAGGTTTGGCCAGAGTAGGTGGTTATCTTTAAAGGTTTTATAGGAGGGAGGTTGGTTTTGGGTATTGTTTTTTTCTTTATTTTTGGGTGATATCTTATCACCTTTCTTGTATTCTATTTCTTATTTCTTAATAAAATTTTCTTTTTCTATTTACTACCAAAAGAAAAACAAAAAAAATTATAGGTAATTTTTTCAAAAAAAAATATGTCTAACTAGTGCCCAAGGCAGTACACTGTCACCTAATCTCGCCTTGCCACCTGTCTATATTTGAGGTGAAGTGGCCTCTTTGGACTATGACATGGCTGTGCTTTTGGTTTTCTCCACCTTCTCAGTTTCTAATATTCCCCTCTTTTGTTTTTCTTTATATTAGCACATTAAAGCATAGCAACAAGAGAATAATTGGATCACAAGTAGGTTGCATGCAAAATTCCAACACCCTAGCATCAAATTGTTCTACGTGTTTGATAGTCTCCACATATCTAAGGCTCTAAGCAAAGAATAATTATCACCACCACATAGTATGTGAATAAGCTTATTCAGTTGTAATATGCCATGTTCCAACAGATCAAAAAAAAAGACTTTAAGGAAGATAAAAAGACCTTTATTACCCATACATATTGATCCCTAAAACTAATCTTTCATGTTTTTTTTTTCTTACAATCAAGGGAGAATTTCTCTAAAGCTCCAAAATGTACCTTTCCTTCTCAACCAATCTTAGAAGGCCTGTGACCGTTTTGTGCTCAACTTCTGGAGACAAAGATAGATGTTTGCGGAACAGTTGCAACCCCATATCCCACAAGGAACGCACATTTGGGGTTTGTTTCACATATGTTCTGTCAAGATACAGGGCTATACCACGAATCATCAACATTTGGTCACAAAGATCTTGCCAGCATTTCTCTACAAGAGACAAGAAAACCACCAAATCCGGGCTCTGACCAACCAAAGATTGTAGTGCTGCTGAAATATGTGCTTCACATTCCTTCTCAATTCGTTGATAAAGATTTCCTCCCATCTTGTGCAAGCAAAGATCACAAACAGCCTAATAACACAAATGATTCATTTACAACCCAATTCACAATAAGATTCATAGCTGAACCACAATTGGCAATGCAAACAAAACAAGACACTACAGTAAACATATAATTGCAAGACACTGCAGTAAAAAGAGACCTGATAAAGCTTCTCAGAGTCACAAGGATCTGGCTGCTTTAAAAATATAGCACTAATAGCTGACTTCAATGTTACCCATGTATCCTCCTCAAAACTTGTTGGCAGCTTTGGTTTATCTTCATCAAACCAAACCAAAGTGAAGATTTAATTAATAGCATGAACAGGTAAGAGTGAAAACAAAACCAAACCAAAGTCCAAACAGTTTAACCATTTCACAGTTGACAGTTCAGATAATTGGGACAAAAAATCAAAACCCAACTACCCAAAACCCTATCATTCCTTTACAACTCTGGAACTATCAAAAATAATACAGAATTAGACCCATCCAAATCTTATATTTCTGATTGAAATTAATCTCAATTTGACTTGAGGAAAAATAGATGTAGGTAATAGGTATGTTTCAGTTTTCCGGTTCCTAAGTTTTGTTTTTCATGGTCAAGCAAAAAAACAATAGAAGTTCATTAAAACATGCTGATTTTCTGATTGAGGAAAGTGTTAGACAATGCATGCCCTTAGCTCCAATCAGAATGATGTATACTGAATTCTATGAATTAATAATAAACCATATCATTATTATTTCATGTTTGTGATTGGTGTGTTTTTTGTACATTACCCCTTAAACTGGACATTTATGAGACTTATGTTAGTTCAAAAAGTTCTCAGCCATTATATCCTGACAAAACTAACACTTATGTACTACCGAAATGGTAGGGAAACTTGTCTCAGTTGCTAGGGTTAGACCTAAGGTACAATCAGTGGATGTTTGTGAGAAACACTGAACATAGACCAATTTCCAATTATGCTCTGGACCTTAGAGACGGATGGCCAAGACTAGAAAAGTTGCACTTAACCCTAGACTGGATAATGATATTGCACTAGGTTTTAGACCAAGTTGCTTTTGATATGCCAACTAGTGAGATCCTCTAAGGGTCAAATACCTTTTTTTTTTTTTGATAAGTAATAAATCACATTTATTGATCAAAAAATAAATCACATTTCATTAAAATCAAGAGGAGATTACAGACCCTTGGGGAGGCGCGAGTTGCCGCATCTCCAAGACATGGAGCCCACAAAAATGAACAAAAAAACTAAAACAAAGAACACATGCTTGATAAGATTACAATTTAGCCCAAAACAGTGTATCCCTAACCGACCCTTGTTTTGCCAATGTAACTGCAAGGGCATTCACTGATCTCCCCACCCACTGTACTATAACAGTCATGTTTCTTGTCAGGCATTTATATCTCTTGAGCTCGTTCTTGTTGACCCAAGTGACCTCCTTTGAACTATTTAGCCACCCCATTACTATCTTAGAATCCCCTTCAATCAGCAACTACTCCACTCCCAAATCTTTTGCAAGAAGAACTCCTTGTATGGCAGCTAACGATTCTGCTCTAACAAAATTTCCAACTCCCAAAGGATCAAATACCTAGTTATGTTGGAGCAATTTGAAATGCTACTTGAGTAAATGATCATTGTGATAGGATCAGCCCCTTTGTCAGGCAGGGAATATAAGGGTTAACACTCTCTCTAATGAAAACCTAAAACTATTGATAGTAGATTTCAACTTATTTTGAAATCATCTTGCAAAATATATTTATATTTATAATATGTTATTTTATGAAAAGGTTTGCAAAAGGTTTTAATCCCAGAATCCATCCGAGTAGAGAGTGTAACAATGCATTTAGCAATCAGGGAAGAGGCCCTTCCCTGTGAGCAGTGTTTTATTATTTTGGGCTAAGAGGTTAAGAACTAAAGACCATTAAGGGCTGAAACCTAATGGGTTTTTTTCTTATGTTAGTCCATTATCCTTGGTCTTCATAGGGTGGCTGAAACCAAGGGTAAATAGAATTAAGTGTTGGGCCCGTATTAAGCCCAATTCGATTGACTCAGGTCCCAAGGGTTCACTGGGTTTACCTGGTGAATTCAGCCCATGTGCTTTTCCTACATGGGCCAAACCCATATGGACTAGTATAAGACCTTTATGGGTCCCATGCCATACATTATTCAAGCCTAATAAGACTTGCAACAGCTATATTAGTAAACCACTCAAGTAATGGGCTAGACTAGTAACATGACAACTTAAGTCGTCATGTGCTTAGGTCGAATAATGGATATTGGTTTGCATATGGATCTCTCTAATAACTAATGAAATTAGAGGTCTAACCAAATCAAATTTGGATAGTCCTAATTACATTAGGATTAGTTTACCTATAACGGGGAGATGAAAGGTAGAGGTGGACACATGCTTGTGTACCTCACTCTTGCACCTTGTTCTCTACTCTCTTGCAAGCCAAAACCCTAATTCGACCTACCCTCTTTGCTTTTTCTAAATCATCAGGTAGAAAAATCTGTAGATCTTCTTCATTCAACTACATTGATCAGAAATTAGCTCCAAAGAGCATACCTGATTGTTTGAGCACCACCCCTCAATCTCACAAGTCATAGCCAAAAATATCTTCCAAAATATTCAACATTCCATCCTTGAGGTTAATACCAGGCTACCAGCAACTTTCCTTATTAAGGTTACATCTTTTAGCTCCATAGTCCCCTAAACACATTTGAGAATTGAGAATACAATCAAGGTCAAAAGAGGACTCCTTCCCTTAACAAATATTTCTATAGGCTAACTAATGATTAACGACCCCAACCTTAGCTTGAGGTTCAAACCATTTACAACCAAGTATTCAATTTACTAAAGGGCAATCAACACTAAAAGAAAGGGATATAGGATCACATTTGAGACCTTTGAAAGATCAGTTCACAAGAAAAAAAGAAAAAAGGAGGATGGAAAATGCACTAAGAAAATACAACCTTGGGTCTATATCTTCTCCATATGTTTTAAAAGCCCTTTTTTTTGAAAGAAAAATACCTCACTAACTCTTGCAGATGTACAGAGGTGAGTATTAGGGCATTTAATACTGAAAACAGAAAATAACAGAGGTAAAACTTGCTTCCTCTTGTTAAATAGTTATGAACCCCATGACCAAGCATCTAAATGACGGGATCGTTAAAAGAAAAGCCCCATTGGTGGAAAATCCTGTCATAAAACCCTCATGAGATCAAGGGGTAGAAAACAATAAACGCCCTTTGACGATGCATTCCTAAAGAAAGACCAGAATCCCTAATTTGGTCCAATATCAACGAAACGATATAGTTCCCAATCCTTAAACTTCTTAAGTTCCATTTATACCAACTTGAATAAGAATCCCTTTCCATTTGAAAGCCCCAGCAACAATTCAATATTGTCCCAAAACATAGCCAAATTGACATTTCAATTGAAAAAGGTATAAATTTCAACAATATCCGAATCCTCTCACATTCTTCTTTTCTCTTTCGCATCAACCAGGCAAATTCGTGGGCAGACGAAAAAAGACTGTAATTTTCACATATGAGAAGCAGCTAAATTTGGAATAAACAAACGATAAAAGGAGAAATTTTTATAGAGCTAAACCCAACAGTATCCACTACCGAACAAAATCAACCAAATTAAAATAAAAATGAAATCACCCGTACCTTTGACAAGCTTGATAACGAGCTTCTTGGCCGGTTGAGGGGGAGTAGCCTTCTTTCTTGACAAATTGGCGGCAATCCCAGTAGTGGTTCCGCTGCACCCGACGCCGAGAGCCAATAGAGGCGCATCAACGGTGTCGACCTTGAGATCATCGTCAACAACCATGGCAGAATCCTCATCGTCGAAATGATGGTGCTGGCCATGGTTCTGCTGTTGCTGCTGCTGTAGACCGTTCTTCTCGAGAGAGCAAGTCACAGCTTGAGACTTTGCCTTCTTCATACTCGAGAAAGGGCCTCCACTGTTTCCGCTAGTATTGCTGGTGCTGCAGTTCGGGCGTTTGTTATGGTGAGACATCAATCAATCAAAAGCGCATCGTATGAGCGACTCCGAGAGATCGAACCACAGTACTTAATACTGGAATCCAGCAACTGAAATGAATTTCTCTCCCTCACCTCTCTCTCTCTCTCTCTCTGTATGTCTTGTTCTGAGATGAATTTAAATGAATATTTTTTTCGATTTCTCAGCCCCAGCGAAGGATGCGACCATGGTAATATACTTGCTAAGGACGCAGCAGAACTTTTCTTCTTCTCTTCACTTTCAGAGGAAAAAAATACAGATTTTTTTATTTGAATTCGTCCAATAGAAGCTTCGTTGTAATCGCTTTTACAACCGCTTTAACACTCTCCTTGAGATTGCAACATTTGGCTGAATTTAATATAAATTTATTAAAACGGCTAACGGACACGTGTCAAATATGTAGAGAGAGTGATGGAAAGGTAGTAGGAGAGGCGATTGTAAAAACGATTTACGTGTTAAGGCCTTAAGGGGTTTCTGGCATTGTTGCGTCGAGATACGGGAAACCGGAAACGTAGTTTTGGTTTAGTATTTACGGTCGGTGGTATTGGTTGAATTTGGAATGTAGAAGAAGGTATGAGGATTGAGGAGAGGAGGCATTTCGTTTTTCGCGTATCGGAAAGTGAGCCACTCAATCGTGTCGCTTGCGTGTCGAGGAGAGGATGTGGCAGGGTGTTTGGATACAGAATTAGGTGCCCGTTGCATTAACATGGTAATATACTACGACTATAGAGTGCCTGTTTTAGACTTCGGAATTAGGGGCTTCTGGTAGTCCATGAATTTGGTGAAAATGCAGAGAGCCTCGAAGCCCAAATTCGCGAATCCAGATAGGGCTACACAGAACAGCAGGTGCGCGTCCCCATAAATCCAAGCAATTAACAACAGATGAAGGTGTATGAAGATTTTTTACATGACTAATTAATCCGCAACTTTGTTGGCTTCTCTCTTGCCATATTCGATAATGGCATTCCATCTTCACACGGACTCCACTCGATTATTAAGACAGGCAATAGCAAGCTTGGGGTCTCCTTTACATATAGAATATCTCCCACATTTATATAATTTTATTTATGGGAAGATTTTCGGAAGGTTGTATTTGGTTAAAGTGCAATTTCAAATGCATGGGGGTGCAAATGAAAATAATGTAAATTTTTCTTTAATTTTGTTTTGGGTTTTACTTTATTTTGCTTCAAGTCTTAATTTACTTCATTTATACTATAATCAAACAAATGAGTTGAATTTAAAAAAAAAAAATTATATCAAAATTTACACTCAAATCATTTGCACCATCATAGTTTTGCATCAGTACAAATTTATTTACATTGCAACCAAACACAGCCTAATGCACGGCTACAAGTGTTGTGAGGTGAGTGTGGGGATTAAATTGGCTATAAATGCCCATTTGGGAGGATTATGAAGTAGGAATTGGGATCTATGCCTCACACCGGCAAGGCTTCTAGTTTTTTTTAAGGTGGGACCTACATAAACAACCTATAAACAATGATTGGTGAAAAATGCAAGGAGCCGAAGTCAATTGTAGGTCATTTATTTGAAGGATTGTCCACCTTAGCCTCTTTAAATAACTTAACTGAAGTGCTTCAAAGCAGTTGAACTAGCCTAGACCTGTTCATGGGCAAAGTAGCCCAACAAACCGGCCCGACTTGACTCATTCTAAATTAAGGCTTGGACATGCATTTTAGGCCTACAAGCTCAGGCTCGGGCCGAAAACACCAGGCCCGACTTTATTTCTGGATGGGCTCGGATTTTCTCAACAAAGCCTGGCCTGAGCCTGAGCCCAAGCCCGAGTTGATAATATATTATATGATAAAAATATATTTTATATAATAAAAAATGTATATATAATATTTTTTCTTTATTCCTCTTCGTATTTTTCAAGTAATAGTTAGGATTCTCATTATTTGTTGGTTTTGAGATCTTTTAATGTAAATAAAATAGCTTTTTATGGAATAAAAAAGAAAAACTTTTTTTTTTGGTTGGACTCGGACCCAGGCCTGGGCCTTGGACTTTATATGAGAGTCGAGCTTGGACTTAGGCCTAAATATATTCTGTTAATACAGAGACAAAGATAGGCCCATGAACATGTCTAAACTAGCTTAACCGAATCTTTAGCTCAACCCTCCAAGCAATAATTGTTCATTTGAAGGGTTATTTGCTTCTTTTAATAGATTATATCGAACAATACAAAATAGCTAAACAAAATGAACTCAAATAAACACGATTATTGCATAATAGGTTGTGGAATCAATGATAACACCCCACACCAGTCATAAAATATAGGTGGGCTTCATATATTTTATGTTTAGTGTAGGGTGTTATCATGGTTCCCCACCCCTATTAAATAGCAAATGCATTTAGGAAGCATTTGGCAAATATTTTCATGTGGTCTTTCAAGCTTTTCAAAGCTTGGTCTTTTTGTGCTTTGGTCAGGGGTGGCCACAAGACAAGCCTTTCATAAGCTATTTGTGCTCGACTCGACTCAGTTTAAGCTGAGCATCAACCCGAATTCAAGCCCAAGCTCAAGCTCGAGCCCAGTGAAGCTCAAGCCCGGTGAAGCTTGACTTGTGAGGCTCGCAAGCCTAGTATTAAATAAATAATTTTTATTATAGATACATATATACATATATAATAAATAATTTTATTATATAATAATATTTTTATTTTTATGTATAATAGTAAATAATTTTTATAATTCTTAATTTTTTGTCTAAAAATAACAAAATAATTTTATACATATAATTTTTATTTTTCAAAAAAAAATGGCTTATAGTCGAGCTCGATCCGACTTGCGAGTTATGAACCGAACCGAGCTTGAGCTCAAGTCTCTAGCTCGAATGAGCTCGAGCTTGATACTATTCATGTGAATCGAGCTTAAATAGCCAGGTATTCGGCTTGGCTCGGCTCGAATCCACCCCTAGTTTTGGCAATGAAATGCAAGAAGTCAAAAAGACTCATGCCCTAAAAAGCTCATTGAATCCCAAAATGGCCAAAAATTTGGAACCTTTAAATGAAACCTCCTATCTTTCTACACCTAAAATCCTTCACTTGATAGCTTTGTAGAAAATGGTAGATTAGGATACTTACCAAACGGTCTAGATCTTTAAAGATAAGAGACCAAAAGCTTGTTACATATTTTGACCATCTAGGCTATTGGAAGATCTTTCGAAAAAAGACTTGCCAAATGGTATCTTACACCTTGAAAAGTGTTTATATGGAACTCACCTTGAAAAGCTATGAGCTGCTAGTTGAAGCACAACAAACTTTGATTTTCTGGTTTTATGATGGACATTGTATCAAACTTTTTACCATAAAAAAAAGTGCAGCATCTTATACAAGAATTATTTACTAGTATTTTGTAAAAATAAAAAAAAAAACATTCTTAAAGTGACCTAATAATGTGAGTATTATTCAAAGTTTATGCGATGGTAAATGGGTCAATGATTTTTAAGTTATTTCTTAATCAAATTATAACACCATTTTATGGAAGTATTATCATCATAAAAGAGTCACTAATCCCTATAACTCAAGTATATAATTTCTAATGTGTTAATAACAAATGATTAATGCATCTTTTTGTTAAATCTTGATCATCTATCTACATGTCAATGTTAAGGAATGTGTAGAGTTGAGGAATCTATCTATCTATATAGAAAGGAAATGTGTATGATGAAATCGCTGAGAATCCAGTATTTGGAATCTAATAGAGGTTTTCAACATTTTTCCCCTAACTACCCTCAAGAATCGCTAATGTTACATCTGTGCATAAAAGTGATTATATCTATGAATAATAAGTTGACGTGTGTCCAATTGAATGGTGAGACCTGGCTCATTGCTCGAGAACACTGATCCAAAAACACTTCTTACTCTCTCTCTATCTCTCACACTCACTCACTCACTCCCTCCCTCCCTCATTCCCTCTCATATGGAGCCCTCACTCTCTCAACCACGGTGAGAAATCTCTATCGCTTGAAAGCCCTAACCAACAACCACAATAGTTTTTGGGCTCTCTATTGAGAGGGAATTGCAGTAAATTTCTAGCAACCATGATGAGAAATCTCTTTCTCTAACCATGGTGAGAAACCCTAAAACCTCTATCTCTCTCTTCATTGAACTTCATCAATTGAAACCACATAAACCCTAACCATTTCTCTTTGCAAGTTTTTTTATCGTTTCTCTCAATTAGATGTAAGCCTTGAACTTAGAAGCCCAAAAACCCTAACGCTAAGCTTCACCCCATAAAACCCTTTCTCTTTCTACAGTCGTCTTCGTTTCTCTCCTAATTTTCCATTAACGATCGCTTGAATGGCTTGGAATGTTAAAGTATTTTGCACAGGTTGGCAGGGTTCTTTGCTTATTTATCTCCTAGTTTTCCACTAGTGATTGCTTCAACATTGTTAAATTATTTTGCATGGGCTATGATTATGTTCTTTCTTCGAGAGAACCTTTAGTTTTTCATAGTTGCCTACTCTCTCAATTAGGATTTGGCTTTTTTGTTGTTCTCCATAGTTAACCAAGGTTGAGGTTTGTCTTTCTCGATCATTTTTCATAGTTGTTGACGATAAATCAATCTTTGTGTTGTTTTTCAAGCTTTTTTCGTTATCTAAGTCCCATGGTTTTACTTTTATTGTTTTCTTGTCATTTTTTCTATGATTTGTGCTTACTTTTGGCCAGGATTATTGTTTACTTTATTGAATTGATTTTTCCCTCCCATATAGGATTTGTGCTTGATGTGAATAAAAAATTATCATATTTTTATCTCCAGTTACTCATTCTTTTACAGTAAATTAACACTTAATTGGACTCATTACTCTTGTATTTCGATTCAGGGCAACCAATAAAGCAACTGGAACAAAACAAGGCCAATCGGATGATTTTGCACTATTTCAGCACCGTTCAGTAATCGGAGCATAACTCTCAACACCGGATTCCGATTCGGATGATTCAAGATGCACTGGAAAGAGAAGGGAGAAGGGAGAACTCCACAATCTCATGTTTTGGGTTTGGATAAATTCGGTCTGCATCGAGGTCAAAATCGGGCCCGAAGTTGGAGCAAATTCGTACTAAAACCCAATTCGCAGCTAAAGCCCAATTCGTAGAAAAGCCTTGTAGCGGCCAAAGTTATTAAAGAAGCCCAACTCGAATTCAAGAAGGAAAAATCCTATAATATTTAAATTCCAACTGTAATCGTAAGAAGATAAGAGATTAAGATTACTAGATAGAATAGGATAGGA